GGTCTGATCTGTGCATCTCCGCTCGGGGCTGTCATGGATTGTCCTTTGCCGTGATCCTTCAGTCCGACTTTCCTCGAACCCTAAACCCTAAACCCCTAAACAAGATTTTCATCCCCAGCGAAAACCCAAACTATCTGGATTTCGTCTCCTGAAGGCCCACGCAAAGGCTCCATGTACCCATATAGTATATACTTAGGCCTTAAAGTACCTATGTAGGGACCCCTTTAAGGCTCAAGTGTCTGCTATAAAGGTACATGGAGCCTTTGGGCCACATGCTGCTCCCAGATTCTGAAGATGGAACCGAAGCATTGTCACGAAGCAGACTGGAAATATGGGTCACGGCCCTAAACCCTAAACCCCTAAACCCTAAACCCTAAACCCTAAACCCCTAAACCCCTAAACCCTAAACCCCTAAACCCCTAAACCCCTAAACCCCTAAACCCTAAACCCTAAACCCTAACGCAGCACCTTGCAACGAAGGATATGGTGTTGGCAGGATCGGCCTGAAGCTCTTTGCAAAGCATAAAAACTGCATAAAGTCCGAGATCCTAAGCTTCATAGGCCTTAAGGCTCATAGATCCTAAATCCTAAACAGCCCTGAAGATACCCTAAGGGCCCAAACGCTAAACCCTATGGGCCCTAAACTCTGGAGAAGCCCGTGAGATACCCTAAAGCCTCAGCAAAAAACAACCCCTACTTAGAGGATCATGGGACTTAGTAAGTAGGTTAAAATTGGGGTTATAAGTCCCCTAAGTGGGGTTAATTATAACCTACTTATAACTAAGTCCCAGGAGCCTTCAAGTAAGATACCTTGATCTCCAAACTCTCGGCCGCCAGGCTATCATAGAACCGGCGCTGTCGCACCTGCAGGAACAGGCCGCTTTAGTTTAGATGGACTTGTGAAGAGACATGGGGCGTGGGTTTTAGGGGTTAGGGTTTGGGGTTTGTGGTGGTGCAGGTTTGCGGTTGAGGCTTAATTTCGGTTTGTGGGCTTGGGTTTTATGCAGAGTCGGATGTCTCGGGGGTTTCTGCATCTTCTATGAAGACTCTGAAGGGTTTTAGGTTTAAGGTTTAGGGTTTAGAAGCTCTTACTGGGAGGGTCTGGGACATCCCCAGCTCAGGTTCAGGAGCAACAGTATTGACGGTGTAGCCTAAACTTAACGCCTGAATATTGAGTAATACCACTTCTTGTGGTTCCTTGTTAGAACCAGAACTTGCACACTATTGTAGTATGAGATCTAAAGCTGTGTGTATTGTATATGTATATACCATGCAGCACCCATTCTTCACCACCTCACCTCCCACGCCAAGCACACGCTCCCAAACATCCCGTGATTCAATTTCCTTGCTGAGATCCCAGCGTTGGAGCAACCTTCCTTTCTAATTGAGGGTCCCGTGCTAGGAATGCCCTAAACCCTAAACCTCAATCCCTGAATCCTGAGCCCAAGACTCTACGAAAATCCCGTCATTGAGGGATCCCTGCAGTCTTTAGGAGCCTGCCTCGGAAGCAAGGAGACAAAAAAAAACAAGATAGTTTTCGTTTTTACTATATGCATAGTATAATGGGCCCCAAGACCCGATTCTAATGATTAAGGCACCAAAATAAGGGTTTGTGACGGAAGGCGCTGCAGTGCGGCCTGCTACTGGAGGCCTTGCGAATCCAGCCAGGGCAACTTTCCGTTTAGGGTGGCGGCGTAGGTGTTGTGTTGCGTTTAGGGGTTTACATTCGGCTTGGGCTTGAGAGTTTGGGGTTTGGCGCCCTGGAGTTTAGAGTTACGTTTGGGGTTTAAGGTTTAGGGGTTAGGGCTGTAGGGTTTTTGCGGCTGGGCTTGGAGGGTTTTCAGGTGTTGGTCTTCAGGGTGGGTTTAAGGTCTCTGGACTGTAGGGTTTGGGGTTTAGGGTGCTAGGGTTTAGTAAAGGGATTGGGGCTGTACCGTTGGGGCTTTGAGGTTTGAGGTTTCGGGCTTGAGATTTGATGGCTTGGGGTGTAAAGTTTTGGGTGTTGGGCGGGGGGCTTGGAGATTTGGGGTTTTCTTGGAGATTTAGGGTTTGGGGTATAGGGCTTTGGGGATATGGCACCACCAGGACCAGCACGGCAGAGATTGGGAATTGCGGTGCTGATTCGCCCTGCTTTGAGTTGGCAGGTCTACGCTCTGAGACAACAAAAGTTGTTCCGAGATTGGGTTTTGCTATGTGCGACATGTGTCCGGGCTCTAGCTCAAGGCTTGGATCTGTAGGTCACCTTTTGCTCGTTTTCCGGCTAAAATCATACACCTGACATGAGGCTGGCAAGTCGAGACATCTCAAAAGCTCAACCCTTCGTCTAAGCCTCTAAGCCCTTACCAGAGCCCGTCACCCACGACTACTCTCGAATCTTCCAGCTTGACAACCCTCCGTAGTCTCGAAAACCCGAAACCCCCCAAAGCCTCCACCGTTCCTTAAATGGTGTTCAATGTACTTTTTCAGAGATTCGTAGAAGTCGGCCGCAGATGCCAGGAATCTCAGCTTCAGCATCTCCAGGAGACGCGCCGGGCTTGTCGGGGAGTTCAGGGTTGGAGAGGGCAGGTTGGAGGGCTTCCCCTTCCCCTCCTCAAACTTTTTCGTTCGACTCCATCACCCCAACCTTGTCTGTCCAACCAACAACGAGGTACCTTCCTGCATCTTTGGACCCTTTACTTTCTGCTTAAGTTCCTTCTCTGTTTCCACCGCTCCCGACACCTGCCCAAACAAGCCCAGCATGCCATCTCCCGCTACTATCTGCCGAACCCCTGTCTTGCCAAACTTCATTCTCCCTACCCAGTGCCCTAACTCATCTTACCAAAATTCCTGTGCTTCAGAAAAGAAGGAATGCTACTAGCAATACAAAACCTAAATGTAGGGCTCGTAACACAACAACCCCTTATGTGAGATATCCCGGTGAAACCTATGACAACCTACCAGAACAGTTTTCTAGGGATCACTCATGCGACTGCGATAACATATACCCCAAGCTGTATCCTCGATACTTTAAGACCCCCACATAGAGATCCTTATGGTTTAAAAGAACCTGTGCAAAACCCGATTAAAAGCACTAGCACATGATTGAAAGCCAACAAGTACCCTTAACCCGAAACTCAAAACCCTGCGTGTGCTCTATCTATTTTCATTGGAGGAGATCCTGCCGTTCACCTTGGAAAACCCAGCGGAGGTGTGCCAGAAGTTAATCGACATGCGTCTCGTGCCGCTTTGCTGAGTTTCCCGACAGGGTTCTAGAAGCAGTTTTCATTGGGTTTTTCAAGGGTACTACTATACGGCTCCCTAGCTAACATCCCGTACTAGTAAGGGTGTTCCAGGGGTATTGCAGGAGTGCTAGATTGCATTCCGATGCTTTTGGGTTTAAGCTTACTCTAGCCTGTGGAGTCAAGGTCGTCAGTCGGTGTGAAACACAGCATCTTGTGTATGCGTTCTTCAGGCATGCCAGTGCGTACTTGAGCCTTCTGTAGCTTGGTGCACTCAAGGTATACCACCTTGCCCTAACACTCCAAATAGACCGAAGTTGGTATTCCATATGAACTTTACGCCTCAAAGTCAGTATCATATATATATATATATATATATATATAGATATAGACATATAATTATATATTTATGTGTAATGCCTAGTTTGAGGTCTGAAGTTCGTATAGAATACCAACTTATTAACGTGTACTTAGAGTTGGAGGGTTGCATGCCTTCGTAGAGACCTCACCGGACTGCAATGAAACGCTCAGGCACGACATCGGGGCCATGTCCGCAGCGAGACTTGCTTGAAGAAATGCTCGGTCCTAGATCCTGGCTGCAAAACCTAAGGTTAAAGGTTTTAAGGTTTTAAGCTTCGGTGTGTATAGGGTCTAGTCACACTTTGAAGCCCGAACGTTCTCAACCCAAAGCTCTGCAGATTTATTCATCATGCTGTCGCAAGTTGCGCACAGTTCCTTCCAGCCTCTAGGACTGCGCTGCCCCTTGTTCTCACTGTTGTCTTCTTGTTCCACCTACCTCAATACTAGGGCTTTGCATTCAGGGGCCAAGATTCGGCTTTTGAAACGGTCGTGTGCAAGTCTCGCCGGAGGTGTGAAAGTCAACCCGAAGTACTTGTGATATACAGATCATCGGTGCCCAGTTGCATGTCATCTCTTTCGCGGCTTATAGGGCAGGGAGTTTCGGTTTTGGGTTTAGGGTTCAGGGCCAGGATTTCAGCGGCACTGAGTATTCATGAGACCCCGGTGACCCCAAAATACGGGCATAGAGTAACTGGGTTCTTGGCAAGGGATTCAGAATAATTTGCCATAGTAAAGAAACCGTTCTTTTTCTATAAATCCCTGTTGTGGTAACTTATCAAAATCCTTAACCCTAAACCCATATAAAACCCTGGAAGGAACCCCTCAGGATCGGTTAAGGAGCCCTTATAGATCCGTATTCTGGTAACTTAAGCTGTAAATGCTTCAGAAGAACCCAGGTAATAAAGCAAGGAAGGGTCATTTCCTAGTTCATATCACCTCACACCCCTATACCCCACCCTACGCTTTTACACAATTTCTGAAGCCACCTGCTATTCCAAACCTTACACCCAAACCCCTAAACCCTAACCACCACCCAAATACTCTACCTTACCCATAATATAACCAATATCCTAACGATGAACTGGGAAATGATAAAGCCTAAAACCACCCAAGTCTCCCACCCTACACCAAAAAACAACTCCAAAACAGAAACCTTAAACCAAAACAACGAGCAGGTCCCCACCTTTCTACATTCTTCTACCCCAGAAGTCTTCAGAAATAATGAAGCTCTCACGTTCTCACCCAGCCAACTACTCATGGCCCCAAACCCCCACATGCAAGCCCGAGACTTCTCAACGCCCTGACGCAAGAGCAACGTTGGACCATTCCAAGTTCCAAGAGGCTTACATGCTGGAGGCTACACGCCAGACCGTTTTTCTCAAGGTGTGTTGGGTTCCGATTTGCTCATCATACCCCTGATGCATGGCGCTGCGGCTTGAAGTGTCGACGATGGCTGGCTCCACTGTCAACATCTATGCAGACCCAGAAGGATCTGTGCTGGACGTGCTGCTTGAGGCGGAAAATGGCCTGCAGCATATGATACACCACCTCGTGACTACAGATGCATGCGTTCTCAGGGGGGACCAGGCAATTCTAGCTTCAAACCTACAGGATGGAGACATGCTGCAAGCAGTGTTGATGTCAGATGACGACAAGATCCGTACTATCGCCAAACAGCATGGTGAGCTCCTCTCGGCAGCTCGTTCGGGAGAGTACGTCATCATCAGGCTCCTCACGAAAAAACCGCTTCCAATGCCAAATTATGACAAAATTGCAACCCACCTCTACCATTTACCGTCTTTGAGGACCGCGGCTGAACCTCTATACGCAGCACTGCTGTCTGTAGAATACATGGTGATGTTTGGGCTTGAGCTCATTTTTGTGGGAGATCAAGAAATTGAGCTGAGGCATGTTGGCGGCCGAGGCGACCCCGACCTTGAATTCGACGATGGTCTCATCTACGACACTGTCTGGCGAACTGCACTTGGCGACTTGCGGAGCCCATCGAATCAGAGCATTCTTCAAGAGATAGAGCAGCAGGCGCTCAGGCGGAAATTCGGTTGATTCTCAGACGCAAGTTGTTTTTATTCTGGTTTATAAGGTGCAGCATGGAATCAAGCTCTGCGGACAGGGACTTTGACACTTGTTTACCTTGTGCGGCTGACACACCCGAAGATAGTTGTGAGTGCTGAGCCATTTTTCTGGAACACTCGTCAGCGTAGCTTGCGGTTGGCAAAGCAGAGCCACTTCACCTTCGTGGCTGTTCCAATTCGGGGGGTGTAGTTTTGGAAGCCATACGCGTTGCCGATCCCAACGCGCCTGCCGGACTCAAAAACATTGTAAGGTCACCGAGGTCGTGGATTTTGGGACGTAGGGCTCGTCAAACCAAGAGGTGTTCTTTCTGTCCCGATATATCCTATCAGTCTTCAAGCACTGTGTTTTCCAGCGTTTGGCTTTGAAGTTAGTTCTGGTTTAATCGTCTATGTAGGTTTAGACAAGGGGTCATGCGATTCCCCAAACCCTACACCCTAAACCCCTTGCTTTATCTCTTCGGGCTTCTCTATGAGACACATGCCTAATGTTTCATGTCATATATACTGCGGAAATGAACACATGAAATCGCGACTGCACCTTGCTAGTCAGATTTTTCATGGAAGGTAGGGAAGATAGTTGAACCCAGATTCATGGATCAAGGACCCAAACTGACGCCGTATCCTGTGTTCTAAAGTTGGTTTTAGGGTTTTGGGTTGAGGGTGTAGGGTTTAAGTTTAGTGCTTAGTTTTCGGGTTTAGTGCGAGAACCATCCCAGAACTGGGAGCGGACAAGGGGAATTCCGACTGCTCGCTGAAGAGTCCAAACTCAAAGCATTGCGAGGGACTCGGTGCTGGTGCGTGTGCGTGTGCGCGTGCGCGTGCGTGCATGCGCGTGTGCATGTGTTTGTGTTGTACAGTAGGTTTTGAAATTTGGGGTTCGGGTTTTGGGTTTTTAGTTTAGGTTTTAGTTTAGGTTTTAGGGTTGTTGCGAACAACCATCCCAGAACTGGGAGCGAACAAGGAGAAACCCGACTGTTTAACAGCCAAAGCATCGCGATGACCTCAGTCGTGTGAGCATTAGGGGTTTAGGGTTTTTAGGTAGGGTTTTTAGGAGAAAGATGAGAGTAGAGAAGAAGGCCATTTCGGCTCAAACGGCTCAAACACACAATAAATATAATATACATAATATACATTAGATCTATCGTTGTTTACACCTTTAACAACTCGTGGCGTAAATATCCTTTACTATTATCACCCTCCAAATAGTAATAATTTTGCCCTAATTTCTTATCTATTCGCTTAACTGTTTCTATAGTCTTTAGCCAATGCGAAGTCCGTTCTTTTTCACTAATGCCTTTTTTGCGCATTATTTTAACACTATCGCCCACTTCTATTTCGGGGTATGTTCTATTCCGCTTCGCTTGTAAAGATATGTTCAATTTAACTTCAAATTCATTTTTGTTTTCTTTGCCTCTAACGGCGTGAATGTAGTAGTAGATGAAACCATTTTATTATTATATGTTAATAATATCTCCAAATTATAATCTATCCACTGGATATTTTGCTTACCCTGTTTTCATCTGCTTCAACTCGCTTGAATAACATATCTTTATGTGTTCTTATAAAGCGCTCGGCGAAAGCTGGATGCCCTCGTGTTCTGTGTATCTCAATTTTTTCACCTTCTAAATATTCTATAACTGTTTTTCTATACAAGCTCCATTCTTCATCACTGTAAAACATCTTTGGTTTATCACCCATTTTTTGTAGTCCTCCCATTATCCCTGCCAACACATCAGGCGGTTCTTTACTCTTTATAGGTATAACTGTAGCATATTTACTAAAATTATCTTTTGGAACTAATCCTGTTCTAAATTTTTGATTTTCTAAATCTTTAGTGCTAATAAAAAACAAATCCAGCTGATACTCCCAATGTGCGTGAGGTGCTACAAAACTATTGACACCTCGTGGTTTCCTTTTCTCTTCAACATTTTTTCTAAAGAATTCTTCCACATCCTCTTTCGTAATACTTTTATCCTTCTTTTTAGCATCTTGTAGAGTTGTAGCCCTACTCCCAAACCCCGAGCGGTCATAATATATATCATTAATGATTTTTTGTTTATCTGAACTCATATAAGTAATAGTAGAAAATATTAATACTATTTAATGGGCACTACAATTACAATACTTACACCAAGCGATACAATTATCTGCACTATGGCATAACTCATTATCGACACGCTGTGCTGTAAAGTTAGAACATAGCTTCCCTTTCTTAGTGCTAAATTCAAATTTCACTCTGCATTTTTGACAATTACCCTTCATCCGTTTTAAACACCACATCTCATCAATATACATATAATTTATTATTTCCGTGTTTGCTTTATTGTCCTGTTGCTTGTATCCTTCCACTTTGTTTTCAAAATAATCCATTATCATTTTCTTATCCATTTCCTTTTCAAAGGCATCACACTCAAAAAACAACACTTTATTAAAATCATCACAGCGAGTAATCGCTGTCCAAAGCCACTCTCTACTAACTAATGGCGATTGCCACTCGTGTATTGTTATTGTATCTTTGATTGTAGCACCCTGTGCTGAATGGCAGGTGATACAGTAGTTGTATCTAAAATGCTTCTCTATGGTTTCTCTATCTACCGTGCATTGTTCTAAGCTCTTTATGTTTTCCAGTAGATAGTTGCCTTTATCAACGCCTTTGGTTTTATACCTAAAATTCACATGTAATCTTTTACTTCCTATTTTCTTATATAACCTGCACACTAACACCTCACCTATTTCATAATCACTTGTTTTACCTAACCTTTGTCTAACTGTCTTTGAAACATCCATACACCTCTTGTTGGTATATGCTATGTTGTATGTGGATGCCATTACATCGGAAGTTGTTTTAAAATACTTCTTTATCAACTCGTTTAGCCCCAACCGATGAACCCAAAAATCATCATACATCTCATTCAGTGTTCTCCTGTTGTCTTCGTCCTTCGCCCTCTTGGATATTTCTAAGAAGATGTTGTGCTTAAAGATGACATCTAAACAGTGGTTGCTGTATGCCTCTTTGTTCTGGCAGTTGGTCATATCCTCTATCGGTGGCATTTGCTTTGTATCACCAGTGGCTATAATAATTTTATCGGGGTTGTTTTTTACGAGCAGTCTAATCTTATTTAGCATATACATAGATGACATATACACCTCATCAAACACGATTGCATTAAACGGCGAGTGGTCAAATATTGGTAGTTCTTCGCCTTTCTTCATAGGGACACTAAAAAACTTGTTTAGGGTTATTGCTTCACACTCCTTTTCCTGCGACAGCTGGTTAGTGCCTACAACAAACAATGTATTATAACCTAACTTCTTAAAATACTCACCTATATAACTCTTACCCGTGCCTCCCACCCCCTTTAATTAAGCATTTACCCCCTGCTTCCTGTTTTATTTGTTGGCATATTTGGTGAGTATCCCACTCGTCCTCTATGTTAAGTCTTTCATTTTTGAGCTGGGGCACATCAACCAGCTCATTATATTTCAGCTTGTAATCGTCGGTCGGCAGTCTTACCCGTTTAGATTTTTCAAGTCAAGTCTCCACCCTCCGATTTTGTGTTTCCCTTCTTCAACCTTTAACAGCTTGGCAGTCCTTGCTACATCATCTTTTTTAATGGTTAGGGCATCCGTTTTGACACTATACACACCAATACCATTTTCTTTTAGTGTCTCGTAGGCTTCATACACTCTATAATTATGGTCTTGTAAAAGCAACTCCTTAATGTATCTAAAGCCGTTGCTTAAACATCTCTCGTCGGATACATTCAGCACATAGTATTTTGTCTCGTCTATTTCAGCATCTCGTTGTATATGAATCACACCGTCAATTACAACAAACCGCTGATAAACTGCATCCTCAAACCCTGCCCACCCATCTTCAAAATCCCACACCTTGACTTTCTCTCTCTCTTCCGTTAAGGGCGTGTAGCTGTAATCCTTAATTATGCCATCTATCGCATATACCCTACCGCCATAAACTGCTTGATACTGGCACACCTCGGTTAATGTGTCAAACATCCTGCTCTTTTGCCCTTTGTTGTGCGACTTCTCTAATAGTCCGAAGTTGATGTTTGCTATGGTCTTCTTTATCCTTCTATCTTCCTGTTCGTCAGCGCTTATCTGTTCTGCCCATAAATCGTCTATAATCTGCTTGTAATCCACCTTGTGGATATGCGACGGTTGCTTATAATATAAAATATCACATTTAACACATTTTTCAATTAATTTCGTTAAGAATTTCCCATAAATCAGGTTATGCTTCTTGTTAAACATAATGATAGCATTGGAAACCCTCACCATATACAGCGTCAAACTCGGCATATCATTAACATTAAGTTTGCTACTCGACTTTCTCCATATATCAAACTGCCTGATTATCGGTATTTTTTTGATGCTTGTAAATGCTTTTGTAAATGCTTTGTTAATATCTATTTCCGCTACATTCTTTTCTATCTCGGGCTTCCGGATAATACCTACCGGAACTATAGTTCTACATTCGTCCAGTATCTCTATATCAGTATCGGTATAGTAGGTTTTTATGGCTTTCGTTAAAGATGCTCTTGTTCATTTTAAACATTGCCTCGCTGGTTTTCTTATATGCCTCCTCAGATGAAACCACAACATCCTCGTCAATCTTAGTTTTGGATAAGTTCTGCGATTGTATGGTGTAATGTATAGTCTTTTTCAACTTCTTAATCCGCCACATAATCTTAAGTTCGGATATAGCCCCCGCCTGATATTTAACAAAAGGCTCATATCCGCTTTCCTTGAAGTCGTGTAGCAGTCTTGGTAAGTCGTTGTCCCTGTGTATCAGTATATACTCGTCTTTATCTTTTAGATGTAGCAAATCCTCTATGGTGTCTATTATTTTACATTCTCGGGGTTCTTCCCTGTCAATGATATAGTAATTGTCGGACACTTTAACCGGCAACTCTTTCTGAGTGCCCATCTCACTGCGCTTCAAACTCTTCA